GCGGCCGAGACAGGAGCTCCGGCCGCCGCCGGGTGACACGCCCGCCTATCCCGGACCCCCGAAGCCGTTGCTCCATCCAAATATCTTACTCCGTGATGCAAAGGAAGGGAAGAGAGGGGAGGGAGGGACGAAAGACAAGACACGCAGTAGTTGAGTTCGAGGTCCATCAAAAGCTATAGGGACAGTGTTTACTCTTCTTGCGGCTGAACTTGTTTGTCAAGAGACAGCCACCTTTATCACATTTTTCAAGGACGCACTTGGTTGCCCAATAAAATCTTTCAAAATGTTCAAGTGCACCAGAACCCTGTCGAAGTATGCCCAGGTAAATCATTTTGTTGCTTGTGATGTAATGAAGGTTCTAGATCAGATAAACTGTACAATTGACCGAAGTCCAACCGGTCCGATCAGTTTCGGATCATTTTTAATTCGGACATAAGCCTATTAATCTGTTGCCTACTACATCCTTCCTTAAAAATGGATGTTATACATAGATATTGTTAAAGTTGATGAGGTGCAGATCATTTACAATCAAGAAAGAAAGCAGCAGCAGCTGTTTCTAGTGCCTGCTCTGACATAACACTCTTTGCACTGCGGCAAGGATGCTGCAGCTGATCCATTCTATCATTGATCCATCGGAACTTATCTTTTTTGCAGCTTAGCTCAACTGGTCGCAGCAATGCAAGTACCTTGGTGGTGGCTGAACACAACAACGACGTCTTATCACCAATCACGCAAAGTGCACTGGCTGCTGCATCCAAGCTTGGAGGAGAAATCTCAGTTCTTGTTGCAGGAACTAAATGTGGGCCTGTAAGATTCTATTTATTTTATACTTGTTTAGGCTAGTACCATTTTCATTAGAGCATTTATAATATTTTTTTTTTTACAGGTTGCAGAGAGAGTAAGCAAGTTGAAGGGAGTGACTCGTGTGTTGGTGGCTGAAGGAGATGCCTTCAAAGGATCCCTTCCTGAAAGTATGACATCACTCGTTTTAAAGGTTCAAAATGATATGAAGTTTAGTCATATTCTTGCTGGAGCATCAGCTCAGGGCAAAGCCCTTTTACCTCGAGTTGCTGCCAAACTTGATGTATCCCCTGTTTCTGATATAGTTGGTGTTAAAGATGCTGATACTTTTGTTAGGACTATCTATGCTGGTCGGTATCAATACAATCATAGATCATTACCCATACTTTTTACTTCAATCCAAGTTGACACACTTTTATCCTATTGTAGGTAATGCCATAATGACCCTCAAGTCAAAGGACCCAGTTAAGGTTGTGACTGTTCGTGGCACAAGTTTTCCCCCTCTTGAGGAGGAGGGAGGCAGTGGTAAAATTGAACAAGCACCAAGTGGATCATATAACTCAACTACAAGTGAATTTGTTAGCCAGGAGCTTGCAAAGAGTGACAGACCAGAGCTTGCTGGAGCCAAAGTGGTTGTTAGCGGAGGTTTGTTGCTTCCTTCTAGTATTTCTTATGCTTATTTATACCTATGATATAAACTAAACATAGACTGTAAAATATTTCCTCCAACTCAGGGCGTGGTATGAAATCAGGTGACAATTTCAAAATCCTCTATGCTCTGGCTGATAAACTCAATGCTGCTGTTGGTGCGTCCCGAGCAGCTGTTGATGCGGGCTTTTGTTCAAATGACCTCCAAGTTGGTCAAACTGGCAAAATTGTTGCACCTGTAAGTTTTTTTTTCTTTTATTTTCTTTTTGAATGTTAATTGGCATCTACTATTACTATTATTGAAATTTTGTTACCTGTTTGTAATGAAATAACTTATCTCTAGGAATTGTATATTGCTGTTGGTATCTCGGGGGCAATTCAGCATCTTGCTGGAATGAAAGACTCAAAGACCATCGTTGCCATCAACAAGGACCCGGAGGCCCCTATCTTCCAAGTTTCAGACTTTGGGCTTGTTCAGGATCTATTCAAGGCGGTTCCTGAGCTGACGGAGAAATTGTAAATGTTTACATTTTAATTGGAGATTGATGTAATCTATTTTCCTAGGCTAATGTGACCCCAGCTTTTATGAATTCATGTGCTTTTTATCTTAATTTCTTATTCATTGCTTTGTAATAAATAGATGTTCAGCTAAAATAAACAAGTATTGTACATATTGTAATCAGAATCAACTGAATCCATTATTTCTGTGATATGTAAAGATGTATATCAACCTGTTTTTAATTTACCCTACATTATTTCTGCCTTGAGGACAAAAATAAATGATGGGATGATGCCATGGTACACTGATATTTAAAATTCCAAAATTGATCGCAAAAATACGGGTTTTGAAACTTGTTTATTTACAAATAATTTAATATAAAAAATGCTGATAAATAAAAAGACAATTATGAACTTAACATATCCAGTTTGCTTCCTTTCTTACGATTTTTAATGTGAACCTGTTGCCCAGAGAGAGAGAATTAATAATTGTGTCAAAAGTAAAAGAAAAGCTTCCAATAGTGTATTACCTGAGCCACTTTGGCGAATTCGGGTCTGCCCAGAAGACTATAACCTGTAGACAAGAGTTGTAATGCTGTCTGCTCAAACTCTGACCCACCAAAAGCGAAGAGGTCTAAGCCTAGCTCAACGCTGGTGCCAAAATCACACTCATCATTTGCAATATTAGCAGCAGTGACCACCTGCTGAAGTTGGTCTCGAGCCTTCTCTTTTAAATCTTCTTTTTCACACTCAACAATTCTTTTCAATATTCTTTTTAAATTAGCTATAGGCAAAAAGAAATAATTTAAAAAAAAAAATAGTATAACTAAACAGCGAAACAAAAGAAAAAATGTATTTCACTTACCATCAGTTTCAATAAGTTCTCGATATCCAACTTCAGTCTTTTTTTCCACTGGTACAAGGAGACCCAATCCATTAAAAGTTTTACACACAGTTTTGCGATCTCTTTGCTTCATTGCTGATGTTTTAGCCTCTAGAGTAAACCCATATTCCTTAGCATATTCTTGGATAGCTTTCTGCAACTTCTGAATTTTAGGTTGAAGGAAAGGTGTAGCTGACTTCTTAGAGTCATTCAGTAATGCACTGGTCATCGAGGAATGAAAATAAGCTGGTTAAGTAGATATTTCAAACAAACAATCCCCCCAAATATTTTTCCTGGCATATTTGTTGTACTTAAATTAATTTACTTACTTTACAGCACCAAATATATTCTCCGCCACTGGGAGAAACACCCCATCCTTCGCTGCACAATTACTTGCTAGAAAAACAGGCATACATTTTGGATCATCTCTGTAATATCCAACATGAAATTGTTTTTGGTCATCGCCTTTTAAAACAGTCTGGGAATGAAACAGGATGCAATTGAACACAGTTAAAGTCTTGCCAAAGAATTATTTTGAATCAAAAATAAAATATAATGGTACATAGTTGTGTTTTAAAACTCAGTAAACAATAAGAATAACTAAAATCTTACTTGAAATCCTGGGGGATCATAGTAGTACCGCCAATGTAGTAAGAAGAATGGTTGTTTTCTTTTATTATCACTCAGTTTGAAGTGACTTGAAAGGAGGTCGAATGGTCCAACAAGCTCCAAACCCACATCCTTGAATGCCACTAAAACAAACACATTTGAAGAGAGTGCATTTCAATTGTTTTAAATGGTTTTAATTGTAAAGTTGTATCCTAAACATGAATGAATGAACAATGAACATACAAGCTGGATTACGTCCGTTCAGGGACTGGCAGAAGTCCCAAAAGCTGTAAAAGTCCTCTGGCATTTCAAACAAAAATTTCTGCTTGATGCTAAGTTTGATATCAGCTGGTGAAGGAGGCATTGTCGGTTCACTATTAAAGTGATCTGTGGCATCTTCACTGGCTTGAGGTGAGTCTGTACTCCGTGAAGATGATGGTTTGGCACCTTCATTACTCTCATTGTTGCCAAGCGGTTTTGCTGGGGGTGGTTTCCTCTTTGGGGAAGCTGAATCAGTCGATTCATCAGATACGTGTTCATCATCTGATGCATTGCTAGGAGGTGCCTTTGGAGCAGGGCCTCCTCTTTTGAAACGCTTCGCACCCTTTGCAGCAGTAGCCTAAATTAAGTTAAACATTTAAAAACCAAGTATATGAAAAATCACGTCACAATTTGAAAGACTTAATATTAAATATTTTACGTCATATCATCCATTAGAGTGAACTGACTGCACAGAGTATGATCCGTGATTATTATTGAATGGGCGCAGGTTCTTTGGTTTGAAATGTACCTTGAATGAACACTTGTGAGGTTAATGACACGAGACTTTTTGTATTTAGACACTAACCTTAGGTGGATGTTTGTATTTACTTATGTGAACTGGGTTCGTTTGATAACATTTGTTTCCATATTTGCAAGCAATCCGAGCGTCAGACTGATATTCTTGAATAGTTTCACAATTTAAAGAGGGGCCAGTATCACCCGCCATTTCTGATTTTGTTTACCACTGTGATTGTGGCGTGCGGATAGTGAGTGCAGCTCGGTCCAGTGGTGTCAATAAAGGGCGTCGTGATTCAAAAGCAGCCCGTCAGTCGTCCGCAAAGGGCGCCGCCAAGCAGAAATGGCAGATTTTTCGGACGACTTGTTTAGCGTTTTCGAACAAACTAATGAAAATGGACACGTACCCGAGCCAGAAGTTTCGTCGAAAGATGAACCGTCAACGTCCTCGTCGTCCCGGTCAAGGTACTGCATGTATTTTTAGTGGTTTTCATGTGTTCACCTAACCTCCATCAAAAACACATGTTGTTTTGTTTTCGTTCAACCCCTCTTTCTCAAATGCATTACTTGATTTTACTTTGATTTATCTGTTGTCATTTAGTTTGCCTGAAGACAATCAAAAGACAGCTATCAAACGGGAGCTAGAAGATGAGGACGAAGATGGTAGCAAGAAAGCAAAACTTGAAGGTCTGGTTGACGACATCAAGTGAGTGTTTGAATTGTCTCTTTTGCCAATATCCTCTCTCGATTAAGGAACAACTTTTTATGGCCTTACTCTTTACTTTTCTTTTGTCATGAAGCTTGGACGAAATTAGTTCCCGAATTAAAGTGCACACAGTGGAAACATTGGAGGCATGTACACATGAAGTCGCAGTGCCGCCAAATATGGATTATGTCCCCCTAAAAGCAGCTACAGGCAAACCTGCGAAGGAGTACCCCTTTTCTCTTGATCCTTTCCAAAAAGAAGCTATCATTTGTATTGAAAACAATCAATCTGTCCTTGTATCTGCCCATACATCTGCTGGTAAAACAGTAACAGCAGAGTAAGTATTCTTCAATATTTCTAGGTTTACTTCACCCATATTGGACATTTCATCACTTCTTGATTTTGCTTTTAGGTATGCCATCGCTCAATCTCTACGAGATAGGCAGAGGGTTATTTACACAACACCTATCAAAGCGCTCAGCAACCAAAAGTACCGAGAGTTTTATGAAGAGTTTAAAGATGTTGGTTTAGTGACTGGTGATGTTACCATCAATCCATCAGCATCATGCCTCATTATGACAACTGAGGTAGTAGTCAAACTATTCCTAATGTATTTTACAACTCTGTGTATATGTCTGATATATTTGTCCTTTTTCTAAAATCCAGATTTTAAGGAATATGCTTTACAGAGGCTCAGAAGTCATGAGAGAAGTTGGTTGGGTCATTTTTGATGAAATTCATTACATGAGGGACAAAGAACGAGGTGTTGTGTGGGAAGAAACCCTTATTTTGCTACCAGATAATGTCCACTATGTATTTTTGTCAGCTACAATCCCCAATGCACGTCAGTTTGCAGAATGGGTTGTACATCTTCATAAACAGCCATGTCACGTTGTATACACAGATTACCGTCCGGTGCCTTTGCAACACTACATTTTCCCAAATGGAGGAGACGGAATCCATCTTGTTGTGGATGAAAATGTAAGAATATTTTTTCTTGAGGGTGAGAGATGCTTCGTTATTATCACTTTGGCACAACTCACTAACAAACATTTTACGTACAGGGTCAGTTTAAAGAAGACAACTTTAACACAGCAATGACTGTTCTAGCCAATGCTGGTGAAAATGCCAAAGCTCCTCAGCCAGGTCGCAGAGGAGGTGTTAAGGGAGGAAATGACACAAATTGCTTCAAAATTGTAAAAATGATAATGGAGCGAAATTTTGCTCCAGTTATCATCTTTTCCTTCAGCAAGAAGGATTGTGAACTTTATGCTATGCAGATGGCAAAGCTAGATTTTAATAATCTGGAAGAAAAAAAACTTGTAGATGAGGTATTCAATAATGCTATGGATGTACTTTCTGAAGAAGATAGACTGCTACCTCAGGTAGAAAATGTGCTTCCTCTCCTGAGACGTGGCATCGGCATTCATCATGGAGGTAAGTTTCCATTTGGTCTTGAAATTTAAATCTGTATAGTACAATAATATATCTGTTGAAATTGACTTTATATTGATTTAAACCACTTAAAGGTCTGCTGCCTATTTTGAAAGAAACTATTGAAATTCTGTTTGCTGAGGGACTTATCAAAGCACTATTTGCCACTGAAACATTTGCCATGGGCTTAAACATGCCTGCCAGAACTGTAATGTTTACTGGGATGAGGAAATTTGATGGAAAAGATTTCAGATGGGTAATGTCACCTATGATTTTCTGATATTCTTGATTATTTTTGTCTTAGTTTTGATAAATAATTATCTTTTTTTTATTATTATTATTATTATTATAATATAGGTCACATCAGGTGAATATATTCAAATGTCTGGAAGAGCTGGACGTCGAGGACTTGATGAGAAGGGTATTGTCATCCTTATGGTGGATGAGAAAGTATCTCCAGAAGTGGGCCGTGACATGGTACAAGGTTTACCAGATCCAATCAACTCAGCTTTCCACTTAACTTACAACATGGTGTTAAACTTACTTAGAGTAGAGGAGATTAATCCGGAGTACATGTTGGAGAGGAGTTTCTTCCAATTCCAGAACCACTCAATCATACCAGAGCTATACCAAAGTAAGTTCTCCAGGTCCACTATTTTGTGTTTCGGTGTGTCGATTTCAAAAATGCTGCGTACCTTATATTTCATACATGTATTTCTCACATTTAAATCTTAGAGGTGTGTCAGCTTCAAGAAGATTATGATTCCCTTATTGTTCCGAAAGAACCACAAGCTGAGTCTTATTATCACATTCGTACTCAACTGGAAAGTTTAGGAAAGGTGTACCAGAGTTATATAACCCAGCCACAGTATTTGATACCTTTCTTACAACCAGGCAGGATGGTTAAGGTAAGGGAATACAGTACATCTGACACCAATTAAAGTGTACCCAATTAATGTTACTAATCTAATCTAATATTTGTTGTTTTTCTTTTTAATTTACTTTTTTAAAGATAAAACATGAATCAGATGAGTTTGATTGGGGAATCATCATCAATTTTAAAAAACAGGAAGCACCCTCTGGAAGAGGGAGAGGAAGAGGTGGTCATTCTAATCCATCCAGGGACCCACCTCAGGTTATTGTTGAAGTTTTATTGCATGTCTCTGGAGAAGAAAATCAACCTCCCAAACCCTGTCCCTCTGGAGTTACTGGTGACATGGAAGTAGTTCCAGTTTTGAGCTCTTTAATTACTAAAATTAGTTCTCTTAGAATTCATTATCCTAAAGACCTAAGACCACCAGACAACCGCAAGTCAGTGTACAAAACTCTACAGGTTGGTTCTATCTCAAAACTTTCTGTTGAACTTTCTATCTTAATGGATTTTAAACACAATTTTGGACTCCTCTTTTATTTTTGCTTTCAGGAGGTTCAAAAGAGGTTCAAGGATGGGCCTCCCCTTCTTAATCCAGTTACTGATATGCATATCAAAGACGATGTGTTTGTGGATTCTGTAAGGCAAATTGAAACATTTGAACAGCGCATGTATGCCCACCCACTTCACAACAGTGATGACCTACAAGAAATTTATGCTCAGTATCTAAAGAAAGTTGAGGTAAGTTAAGTTAATAAAATTAACCCACTCATTTTCAGATAATTGACTCCTCATTCTTTACAAATGTACAAAGTATCTTCACAATTTTACCTAAATTTTGCAGCTAGGCAACCAATTAAAACTTGTCAAAGGAGAGCTAAAACATGCTAAATCTTTGCTTCACATGGATGAACTAAAGTGCAGAAAAAGAATTTTGAGAAGACTTGGTTACTGTACTGCAGCTGATGTCATAGAACTAAAGGGTAGAGTGGCCTGTGAACTCAGTGGGTGAGTGAAAAATTGTATATAAAACTGCTATCACTTCTTTACCAAAATTAATGTGCTCCCTTAAAATTATTTGAATCTTTTTCTTGTAGGTGTGACGAACTTCTCATGACTGAAATGATATTTAATGGCCTATTCAATGACTTGACAGTAGCTCAATGTGTTTCATTAATTAGTTGCTTTGTATGTGATGAAAAGAGTTCTGAAAACCCCAAAAAATCCGAAGAACTGTCTGGTCCTTTGAGGCAGATGCAGGTATGCATTAATGTCAACTACATATTTATAAAATTTAAAATATTTTAGTAAATTTATCTTAATTCCAACTTTGCGTTTTTTTTTAGGACTTGGCTCGAAGGATAGCTCGAGTCAGTGCAGAGGCGAAGTTAGACATTAAAGAAGAAGATTATGTCGGACAATTTAAGCCATTTTTGATGGATGTTGTTTATGCTTGGTGCAAAGGCTCATCGTTTCTTGACATTTGCAGGATGACAGACATTTTTGAAGGTATGTTTGGTTCTTGCTTTTTTGCAACTTTTTCCCTTAATATGTAGGTACAATAGTAAAAACAAAATATTTCGTTTTTAGGAAGCATTATTCGATGCATGAGAAGATTGGAAGAAGTTTTAAGGCAACTTTGTCAGGCATCAAAGAACATAGGAAACACAGACCTTGAAAACAAATTCAGTGAAGGAATTAAACTTATGAAGAGAGATATTGTCTTTGCTGCTAGTTTGTATCTCTAGGTTTCCTTCCCCTTCTACTTCCTCAGAATAATTTGCAAGCCATCAGCAACAGCCAATTTGGTCACTTTACTTTATTTAAAGGTCAGTCAAGAAATTTTATGTTATCTGGACACTAGTAAATTATTTTCTTATATACTTTACACAAATTATCAATAAAAATTCAAAAGTCCTTTTTGCCCATTTATTACCCTTTCCTTCACACATTAATTTAATTACATAGTTAGTTAACATGTTGCGTTGAGTCCCAGGGGTGTCCTCTTTTACATGCTACTGTGGCCATACTTGTGGTCCTGTGGGAATCAACGTGTTAAGAACTCTATCAAATGTTATTTCTTGTGGTCTGAGCGTCCTCGCATTGAAAAGGGTAGCAATATCTTTGCAAAAGTTACCTTAGCAATAATAGGAAGACTTTGTTTGTTCCGGTTCCTAAGACTGTGAGTGCGGCGCGACCACAATGTGGTCACGCTTGATACTTTGTTCAACCCCCAGGATGCAAAGCAGTACTGCTATCAAATACGGTCGATGGTCTACTGCCCCCTGCTGGAATGATTGTCCTACTTTATCTGCTTTATCATTTCATGTGGTACTAACAATGTGAGCTCTTTTGGGAAACACTTCATTTGTCCACCAGTTACCAAAAAGGAAATAGATATCTCAACCTGCTGGATGAATCTCACTTTATTTTATTTCCTTTCTGTGTATTCTACTCAATTCGTTGAATAAAAGAAAGGAAATAAACAAAACATGGTGACCGTGAACTCTGAAAATGGCAGTAGATCTTCTTTTCTAATCAGATCAATCTATCTATCGTAGAGGTTCGGCTTTGGTTGCTTCGCATCTCTTGGCTTGGAAGCGCCTTGAGCGAGAGCGCATAGGCAACATTTCCGTACTATGCGCTCCTGCGTAAGATGGGTTGCCTATACCACACATTGCAGGCGCTTCTGCGCAACCACTACTTCATATCCCGTAGACGTGTAACCACCAGCAGGAATTGTGTGTAAAACGCGTATTTGTCTTCACAAATACGCGAAAACATTGTTAGAGACCTTTCGGACTAACACAGTCCCTGAGTTTATTAGTTCAGAAAACTCGCGTCACCCGCGGACTTCTTGTTCCCCTACTATTATGGTGGAAATTTTGGTCGCACACTCCGAAAGGGAACAAAAAAAAAGTCATCGTCACGTTACCCTTTCCCCTTCCCTTTCCCCTCCCTCATTCTTCACACTCTCCCACTCCTCGTCCACTTCCTCCTCCTCCTTCCACGCACCCGTCTAACGGTACAGCAACGCGGAGCTAAGCGGACGGGGCCGTCCTGATCCGGGCCACGCCACGCCTCGCCACACCACACCACCGGGCCTAGCTTGTGCCCCTTATCCAGACCTGGCCTGGTGGGCTGCCACATCCCTAGACGGGCTCGAGCCGGACTCTGTCCGCGAGGTGCCGCTGGAGGGCCCCGAGTCTCTTTAGGGCATCCTCCGCCCCGCATAGGACAGAGACGCTCTCCTCGCCCTAGTCGGGCCGGACAGAGCCTACCTTCCTCTTCTGCGGGGTCGTTGGCAAAGTCATGTAGTCCTCCGTCACTGCCTCGACACAAAAAAATACACACACACAGTCAAGCGCCCGCGCCCTGTAACAGGTCAAGGGAGGGGGAGGGGTGACTTTGTCCTCTGGTAGAGACAGTCTTGGGGACTGTCTAAAAATCACACGGACACCCGTGGTGCCTTTTGCTTTGATGTCATTCCGATTCCCATCCCGCGCCTCTCTGCGGGCACAGTCTGCGGGCTGGTACGGGGACGCATGGGCGGGCAGCGCTGGCCGCCGCCTCCCCGCTACCGGCCGCCACTACGGCTGACCTGGATGCAGCTGCTGCAAGTGGGCCATCGGGCTGAGCCGCCTCCATGGCCTGGCCGGCCCGGCCCGGCCCGGCCCCACGGGACCGTTACTCCTGCAGGGCACGGCCTCATGGTGCGGCAGCGCGGCCGCATGGCACGGCATAGGCCAGGGCTGGGCTGGGCATGCCGCGGAGGCTGCGGAGCCCGGGGCTGCCCACGACACAGGCGGCGCTCGCTTCGGGAGTGCGGTAACTGACGCCCATGGCCGAGCATCGACAGCCGCGTGGACAAAGTCCCATACCGTCCCAAAAGGGGGCAACTATAGTGTGGCTACGATCTCGGTGAAGGCGCCAAAGGACCAATGATAAGACGGCTCAGACTTCGAAAGAAAGGGCCGGGCGCCCAAGCTGAAGCGTCTGACCCGCGTCACAGGACGGTCCCCGCCGGTCCCCACGCCCGCAGCCGACCGCACAGTTATGTCCAAAGGGGGGCTGCAGCACTGCAACAGACTGCAAACAGAAACCAATCATGACGCCTCTGATGCCTCCTGAAGTGGGCCGTCAGTCCTGCAAGTCCTTCTAGGGCTGGTGTTGCGGGGGCGGCGCGGCACTGTGCTTGAGGCGTACCTGCAGGCTGAGGTGGCATGTGTTTGGTTTTACCTACCCACTGCCCCCTTGCTGTGCTGCCATGGCCGATGCTATACACTTGAAACGCAAATGTGCGACTGTCTGCCATGAATACACGCATGGTCATAACAGCATGCAAAAGATGGTAGGCAACCCGCCTCGCCCGCAGGAATGCGGTACAGCATAACTACAGAAGTGCGCGTGGTGAATCAGCCACCTGGTATCATAGGCGTAAAAGACACATGTCAGCGACCGAGCCCGCCATACCCTCAGCAGACCACTAAAGTGGGTAGACCTACGCGCCGCCGCGGCGTTGTCGTGGACGTTGTCCTGGACGTTGTCGTGGACGTTGTCGTGGACGTTGTCGTGGACGTTGTCGTGGACGTTGTCGTGGACGTTGTCCTATGGACGTTGTCGTGGACGTTGTCGTGGACGTTGTCCTATGGACGTTGTCGTGGACGTTGTCGTGGACGTTGTCCTATGGACGTTGTCGTGGACGTCGTCCTAGACGTTGCCCTATGGGCGTTGTCCTGGGCGCTGTTGTCGTCCTCTCGTCTGAGAGTGGCGTGGCCGTGGCCGCGCCCCCAAGTTCACGGTCATGATCCCGCTCCCGGAGTCTGCCGCCGCCGCCGGGCCTGGGCCGGGCCCACCAGCGCAGCGCCAGCCCACCACGCACGCCGTGCCGTGGCGTAGCGGGGCGTAGCGGGGCGGGGCCCCGGCGGGGCTCACAGCAGCGGAGCAGTTTGGCGTAACGGCGCTGCGCTGAGCTGCGCTGCGCTGCCGGTGTGGCCCACCCCGCTACTTGTGACGCAAGTGTTGCGGCGCCTCCTGTCACACACGGAGCCCCGGGGGAGATGAGCCAGTCACGTGTGGAGAGGGGGAGGAGGGGCGAGCGGACGTTCACCCAACCCAAGGTATCGTTTAGAAAAGTACGTTCGGTTTCCCTCAGATTGAATCGGGTAAATTACGGGTGCTCTGGCGCCTGCGAGACTCCGGGTAGGCCACCCCGCACTACACGCATGCACTGCAGGCCAGATGTTGCCTACCCAACAGGCGCTGTGAGAGCTTGCACAGGCTGAACTTGGCAGTATCGAATCGGCGAATAACGGACGTACTTTTGGCACGATCCCTCAGTATTCAGAGGGGGACACTGACGCTTCTGATAGGACACTCTGCTGAAAGACCATTGTCACTTAATGAAGAAAAGAATGACTTAGGCTACCGATCTGTTTCCTCCTGCCTGAACGCTGATTGGTCGACGATGACGCCGGTGTGTGGTGGTCAGTCAGTTAAATGAGCGTGCAAAAGGAAACAGATCGAGCAGTCATGCTTTTCTTCTTTAGATTCCGGTTGTCTTCCAGCTGAATAACCGTACTATATTGACATCAAACTAGTGTTATACATACTGATTTCTGCAACTGGAAGGTAGGAAGAGTAAGATGGTTCTTAAAATGCTCAACTGTAAATCTCCCATTTTTATTGCCACTACATCTTCGACTGAGCAAAGTGATCGCGCTCACACAGCTAGTTTTATGGAGCTATATGGAGCAGCTCGAAGGAACGGTTAAAGAATACCCGCAATCGAGCCAGGCCCGCTCCCCTCATCCGGAGCCGAATATTTCCTGGTCCGATGGAGGTGTCGGAGCTCGGAGCCCATGCTGTGAGGCTGAGCCGGGCCGAACGAACAGGCGGCTCTGGCCGGTCGGTTCGGGTCGCTATACTTACTTGTTGTTGCGTAATTTGCTAACGGGACGCATCCCGTGGAATGGAATGAGGAGAGGAGCCCCACTGCGACTGCCGCTACACCGCTCCGCGCCCTGCCCCGCCCCACCCCGCCAGGCGCCCACGTGACGCAGAACCGAGCAATCAGCGGCGGGCATAGCAGGACCAGCATACCGACCAGCACAGCGATAATTATTGGTATTTTTACCCCGAATCAAATTCTGGTACGTTCGCATCACTTTTGGTCCAGCATGAAGGGCGGCGTCAACTGACTGAATCTCAGGACTCGGAGCCGGAAGTGAATAAGAACGGAAGCAGAAAAACGGAACCGGTAGTAGATGACTGGTAGGGTGTTTCATTCTCAACTTTTGAGCGCTTTGCGCAGTGGGTTCTCCATCTCGGAAGTGGGCAAGCAGTGGAGTTTTCAAAAGTTGGCCACAAGGCCTTTCAAACAAAACACTTATGCATCAAATCCCACTGCGCAAAGCACTCAAAAGGTGAAGATGAAACACCCTAATGACTGGCTCAGAGATTCAGTGAAATACTCACATTTTGTGTCTATTCCGATTACAAAAAGGCTCTATGGGTGACGCAATTTTCAAGTTCATCGTATTGCGAGGACGTAAAATAAATGATTCCACCAATGATTTCCTTTCATTTCCTTCCTTCCTTCCTTCCTTCCTTCCTTCCTTCCTTCCTTCCTTCCTTCCTTCCTT